GGAGATCATTGGTTGGCTTGGGCCACAGAGATTTTAGGGGCCTATGGCTTCTCTTGGATGATTTAATTGAAGTGTTCAGACCATTGCCAGACTTACCATGGCTATAGGATGACTTGCTTAGGCCTGTACCACGAATTCCGCGATGAGAATCTTTACCTTCCGACCTGAAACTGCGGTCAAACTGATGGGATGAGAAAGATCGTCGAGGACGGTCTAAGGCTTCTTTTGAACCGTTTGCTCGAATGACCTGCTTGTTGTAATAAGCAAGATGAGGCAGAAGACTCGACAGATGTTTCTTAAGCTCTTCATTCCCGACATTTTTTTCAGCAGGATTGCTCTTGATATTTACTGCTTGCAGGGAAGCATAATTAGCTGCCAGTTGCTTAAGTCCTTTTGAATTAGATATTCGATTGGAGCATATGTCAAGAACACTCAATTTGAGGAGGCGATGCAGGCCTTCTATTTCACTTATCTTGTTCCCACCTAAATATAGCTCTTTCAGCATCAAACAAGAAGCCAAACCTACAAGGGATTAAAATGAGATGGTTAATAATAATAATAATTCTTTGACTTGCTTAGCTTCTTTTGTTCTTTTTCTGACCAATGATGCAACATAGGAAAATTTAGCAGCTTAAATCTGGGATAAATTACCACATGAATAATATTTTGAACATGAAAGAAAGAAGCTTGTTTGTTTGTTTTGAACATCTAGATCACACATTTCTAACAATGTCCATAGCAGGTTAGAAGGCTTCGATATATATATGTATATATATATATATATGTATATATATATCTACATGTCAATTTATTTCAATAAATTAATTTCTTGTTAAATCTAGCTGCAGCTAGGTCGAATCATCGTGGATTCAAAGAATTTTTATTCAAATCCAACCAACTTCTACACAAATCCAGCCAATTTATATGTACCTATGACCAAGAGATGAGATGCATAAATATAGGTTAGATCCACGTAGAAACTGCCAAGATCCCTGCTGAAGAGAAACTAGATTCATATTTGATCAATATATTGGGATCTAACATGGTTTAGGATTTAGGGTTTAGAAATGTGCTATGTAATATAATCATGATCACAGTAAAGAGAATGGAAAAAAGAAAAGAATACAAAACATACATACTATATCGAACACAAAAGAACATGGAGACTAGTTGCATACCATGGCCAATCCTACTTATTCTGTTGTAACTCAGATCAAGTACACGGAGTCGTGTAAGTTCTCTGAGGCCTTCGATGACTGATATTTTATTCTTCGACAGATTTAACATGTGAAGACCTTTCGGAAATGCTCCAGAAGTTATCCGAACTGAAGAAAAGTGTTCCAGAAAATGCAGAATTAGGTTTCATACATTACCTATATTTTTATAACACAAGTACCAAGTAAGCATAAGTTACATATTGATGTAAAGCAAAGAATAAAAGAAGCATTTGAAAAAGGAGAAACAATGGTGAGAACTTATGAAGCTTGTATGATAAACCTTACACATACCTATGGCGTTGCCTGATAAATTTAGCATCTTTAAACCAACAAATGCACTAAGGATTGGAATTGCAACCAATCCAAGATTTGCCATCTGTGCAGTTGAAGACATAGGACTCAAGGTTGAAAGGTAATCGTAAGCTACTATCATTCCAATACTACTTCTAGCATCAACTTTTTTGCTTTCAATCCTACCAGCAACCTTAGGTTGTTCCTTCTTCTGCGCAGGATTAGAACTTTTCCCGAGTTCTTCCACAATGTCACAATTTTGGACATCAAGTTGGTTGATCCAAGCTGCAACTCGCCCGATATTATGTCCTTCAGGAGTTGATTCATCCTTATTCTGGATGGAACTTTCATTAAGTTTACAAGTCACAGCACCATTGTTCCCAAGTTGTTCCAACTCGATTCCATGACCAGGATTGCTATTGTGATCACTCCCATCAACCGATGAATCTGCATTGCAAAGTGAGTCCTTGCTGTCAACCAACTGAATGTCACTAACGGACTTTGGAATGAAATATTTACAATCATTCTCTGGATCTGATAGACCATTACACCGGCAACTGTTATTAGAAAGATGCCCTCTTAATTCTGAATGGCAGGTTGAACCCTGGTCATCTATATCAGATTCGTGTGACATATATTCTGCATCTGGTGCAGCTTTGTGCTGGTTCAAAGACACCCTAGAATCAGCTGCTCTATCACCATTTAGAAACTGAACCCTTCCATCATTGATAGAGAACAGATTTTCAAAAGATATGGAATGAGACCCAATAAAATCAAGCTTCAGAGAATCATCATTGATGCTTGTATTTGGCACTCCATGGCTTTCTAGAAAACACGATCTTGCATGTCCAGAGTAAACATGGTCATCATCATTGTCATGATGCTTTTCATCAGACTCGTCAATGCCAATGGAAAAGAGGGATTCACGATGAACTGGTTCAGCCAATGAAACGTTATGAAATTCAAACATATTATTATTTTTGTGATTCTGGTTTTGTGACTTACTTCCATGGTCCATGTGATCTTCATATAGACTAATATCATCAATGTTGTCCAATGTATTCATGTCTAATTGGCAGGTACTGGAAAATCCCCGACTTAGTTCATCTTCCTCGATGATATTTCCATAGGAGCCACTTCTTTCTTTGTCCAATATATTTCCAAGAGATTTATTTTTTCTAAGCTTTGCCATCTGAACAAAATCTTCCCAGAGATGAATATCCTGACTGCCCTCAGAACAACCTTCCTGTAAAGATTGGTCTGTTACTTGATTGATTTGGGATTCTAAACTATTATCTTCATCTGTCTTGACATTGGAACTTCTAGGCACCACTGCAAGCTTTATTTCTTGATCTTCAGACTCTACCAGATGATTGAACTTCATTGTTCCACCAGCTTGTTGAACATTCTTGAAACAAAGGAGTAATTTTTCAGCATAAAAGAAGTAAAGATATGTGACTCAGAGAGATAAAAAATCAATGATCTTTGTGTACCTTTGATTTATGCTTGTGAGGAGTCAAGAAACAGGAAAAACCTGACAATTTCAGTTATCAAAGAAGCAAAGATTTTCACACTACTTGAGAAAAGTGATGATATCCAACATGTCACTGAAGAGATTATTCCACCCAGATATCACAGGAAAACCAAGATTGCATACCCTAGTATCTATAAATGACTAACTGATAGGAGGGAACTACTCTACCATCCAATATGAGTCTTAGCCCATGCTGACATTAGCCGTAATCAAGAGAAAGACCTTCAAGCACACGGCACAGTCTCCAAATACCCGACGTCTTTGATTCCAGCAATGAATTCAATGCAGAACCCCACACCCAATTAGAGGTGCGAGAAGGGTATGACTTTCCTATAGCGGCCAGTGTAAGAAAGCTCTATGAAGCAACTAGTTTGAAACCAGAGAGACACTAGGAGAAATCCTGCAACATGTATTACAGACTATGAGATTGGAAAAAGGATTTGACAAAACACAAGAGATGACTAGAATGACAAAACTAAAAATTCTGAATTCAGTATTGCAATTACTTGACATATCAATGATTTCACTAATAAAGGTAAAACGGTGTCCTTCAAGGATCTGTTTCTTAGAATGTATCGAATATGCATATGGAATGAAAAGATCAAAGAGTAAGAAACCTTTAAGAAACTAAATATGAAGCTGAAGACAAAAATTACTTACATAAGAAAGAAAACAAATATATCAAATATTAGCAATAATAAATATTAAATTTACGGATCCCAAAAAGCTGTTCTTGTAGCAATATAAATATTCAAGAATTATAGTTCCACTACTGTATTGAATGATTCAAGGAAAACAAAAGGTCGAAAATGCCGTGTGTTACTAAGCTTCTTCACATACGATTTAGGCAGATTCTCCAAAATCATCCTAAAAAGAAATCAACAATTTGAGGTGTATTCTATTGCTAGTTTTGTTTATCTTACTAATACATTTAACTAGCAAATTTATGTTGGCTCCTCAAGACTATACCCTTGTGCTTGGGATTTAACAAACAAGTTTTAATTTTGGTTCTTGACTTTTTTATTTCCTAAAAGAACAAGAAACAAACGAATGCTGCGTTCTTTACCAAAACAACAAAACACAACCTGTTTATGATCAAAACTTATTACCAGGAAGCGGCAGAAGTCAACCAATCAATCAACGAAACAAAAAGCGTTTCAAACAAAAAACAATCCATATATGCCAACGAGGTCAGAAAAGGAAACAATTCGATCTCTTATCATCCAATTCTACCACACCGAGCCAACCCAGAGTATCTTTCAGAACAATCCAATACCCAAATCTCCTAAAAAACGAATCTTTTCTCACACACACACAAAACAAAAAGCTTTTACATGGAAATCACCATCGAAAAGTAATCTTTCCTGGACGAAACAGATGCACCGATCAAAAACCTGAAAGATAGCAAACCTAGTCTCCGCCAGATAGCATCACCGATCCCTCCTAGAACAAAGTAAAGCAGTCTATTTTTCACCTACAGAAAGCCCAGATTAAGAAGGAACTCAGATAGAGGGAGGAGACCGGGGGCTATATTTAGGAGAAACCCAACGGGGAACGTTTCTGGATAAACCCTAACCACAGAGGGATTCCAGGTAGAGAAATCGCCAACCTCCTCAATCCTATCTTCTCCCCCTTTTCCTTAGCTTACAATCTCATGCAATCTTTGACGTTGATCGATGGATCTACAATAAAATAATCTTTTTTTTGGAATTTAATGTGAATTGTGATGTGGTCATTTAGATTGGACTCATTCTCAGTTTAGGGATTCTAATCATATACAAATAAAGAGTAATATTTCATAAATTAATTGGAAAAAGGGATCATGGAGACGTAATCTTATCGAATTCCAACTGGATTTTTTTTGTGATTTTGAGCCTAAATTTATCATATATATAACAATAAAAAATTAAAGATCATATGAAATTAAATGAACGGTTATGATGCAGGAATTTGGAGGATTCCGTCGAACTGTGTTGTTGTAGGGGATCCGTCCCGTCCCGCCGCGACTGAAGTTACGACACCAAGAACACCACCTCTTTGCAGCGGCTGCCCGCACCCACCGCCATGGCGTCGCGCTTCGCTCCGAGGCTCTTCCTCCGACGCTTACGGATGCGGAGAAGAGCTCAGCCGATCTCGTCTCTTCACGAAGCTTCCGCAGAATCTGCTGGCGTTATCGGCGATCGAATCTTCTCTCCATCGGGAACTTGGTCACCTCCCGATTTCCAATGTGTTTTTAGGGTTTTCTTCTCCGCTCGCCCGTCATCGCTCGACGAAGGGAAGGGTCCGGCCGCCATAGATTACCCGTGCGTGGTTACCCCCGATCCATTTTCTTTAGAAAGAGAGCGGAAGGCTCTGATTAGGGTTTCACGATCAGGGGAAAACTGCCACTGATTTGATTTCCAGCGTCTAATTCATAATGAAATGTAGGTTTTTCATTGATTTTTATGTGAACAATAGCTTTCTTGATGATTTTCTTTCTTGAATTGAGTGCTCGTCTACAGTTCTGACTAACCTGAAAGTGAGTTCTTTCTTGTGGAGCTTTGCTCAATTTGAAAGCAGTTAGATACTCGATTCGTCGGTATAGGAAGGTTTATGATAGTTCAAGATCGAGTACAATACACATTTATGTTCTTCTATACAAATGCACTTCTGTTTACATCTGGTACTAAAATCTTTTTTCCACAATGTGGTCTCATTTTATTCGCATTTCTGGAGTAATTCTTCTCGTTCTGTTAAAGATCTCTTTTGCCGGAAGAGGAGTTCCATAGGCTGGCAGATGAGACGATCCATGACCTGCTGGAAAAATTTGAGGTAGCTTTCACACTTCATCTGTGAGTCCAGCATATGATTTATTATTTTCAAAAGCCTGCAGAACTTTCAAACAAGATAATGATAGTCTTCATCTTTGTACTGGCAGGAATATGGAGATGCTATCCAAATTGATGATTACGAAGTGGACTATGGGGTGTGATGAGACAGAAGACTTTTAGTTGTTCCCTTATCTTTCATCTTCTTGTGCTTGACTAAGTTGATCAGTTGCATTTCATTTTGAGCAGAATCATGTTTTGACATTGAAGCTGGGGAGCTTGGGCACGTACGTCATAAACAAGCAAACTCCAAACAGGCAAATTTGGTTATCTTCTCCAGTAAGGTACTGGCCGTGTAAACTTTGATGCTTCTATATGTAAAACCTTGCATGTTATTGTTTTAAATTTTCAAGCATTGTACATAATTTGGGACTGAGATTATTAAGTTGTGTGGGTTCAGTCGTAATCTAGTTTCTAACATCGAGAAATTTTCAACTCATTATTTAGCTACATTCTTACTTTTTAGGTTTAGAATGTATTTGAATTGCTTGTAAGTCTATGATCTACCTGTTTTAGGCATTATTTATTTAACAAAATCGACCAGAACCAACAAGGGCCTTAAACTTCCATAAACTATGTACTTGACATGGGCTTACCAACTAAATTCTGATAAAACAACTGTGTAGAGCTTGGTGACTAAGAGTCTTCATCCGACAACTAGTTTTTCAAGTGGAGATCACGTAGGAACTATTTGTGCATGGATGTCCTGGAGTAGATGTGATATTGTTAGATGAGGCACTGATTTGGGCAATCTCATACCTTAGTGGGAATATGAACCTTTGATGGCTTGTATAAATGAGAATTCCCATTAGTGGATACTTTTACGGAGAGAGAGAGAGAGAGAGAGAGAGAGGCTTTTACTGTGTTTTCTTCAACAGAAATATCATATGCATTTTATGGTGTTGGTGTCGAGTGTATCACTGTCTTGTTTTCTCGTAAGTTGCTGATGGCGCTTTTATCTTCAAATTTGTACTTTCTTTTTCCTTCTCTTTATATTTTTGGAACCAGCTTGCGTATGTTCAAGTAAGTTGGAGTAGCGCATGCTGACGATAATATATAGACCCAAGGATTTCACAACAAAAAAAGTGAAGTATGATATGGAAGCCATGGACTTCATTTTTACCCAAAAGGGAACCTTTTCTATGGGGCATAACTCGAATAACTTTGGTCTTTGGCTGTACTATTCATGATAGTGTGACTTGTTGTGGGTATGTGAGTTGCATCGGATTTTATTGCTCATCTTGGTGAACTGCAGCTGATAGGAGGGAATCATTAAAAAAGATGTGAACTTTCCCAGGAATTGCAATGTGAGCCAGAGAAAGACTTAAGATGGCTTAACATAATCATGGGAAAGGACAGGATGTCCTTGTGTTTGCAGCTATACAAATCTGGAATTAGGGAATGATGCATCTCACTATATGGATTTTGTGTAACAGAGGGTTCTTATTTTCTGCCACAAATATGGGAGATTCCTCTTACACTGGTTGAGAAAATTCTAGACAACTTGGATATTGATGTTTTAGACAGAGCATTTGTGATATTATTTCATGTTCTGTATTCTTTTGGTACATAAACTGGAGGATGCAAAGGCAAAGAACTCTATGAGCAGATATGTCCTCTGTATGGCATGTCACACATGTAGGTCGAGCAGAACTAGGAAGCTTATTTGAAAGTCATTGGTAGCCCCTTACCTCTGGAGTCCTACAGTTTTCTGTTCTGTCCACCCTCATTGTGCCCACTAGAGTGCAGGAAAGCAAACAGTGATAGTCCGATAGGGATCTCCTGACATGCTGAGTTGTAGTGGGTCCCATAAAAGGTAGGTAAAATTGTACTTGGTCCAAACTCCAAAGGGTAGAACAACTGATTTATTTTTCCTTAATTTTTTTAGATCTATGTTAGCTTGCTGCAACAACCTAATCTGACTGAAAGATGTATATCATAGATTATATTAGCTTGCTATAGCTCAATCTTTGTTGGTAGTCAAAAGGCCCTTATATTCTGTGCTATTTAGGAACCCTGGTTCCTACATTATCATTATTTACCACCAACTTTTGCTGTAAAATTCATATCCCAGCCACTTCTATTTGACTCTGTCAACCAAATTGATGGATTTCTACCTATCCCACATAGGTTAATAGTAATCAAACCATCAAGTGATTCTTTTGCCCATTGGATTAATATACGTTTATTAACAGTTGTTTTCCTATTTACATCCATTTTGAAAATTCTCCACAAAGATGACGTGGGAGGAAATTTGCAACATCATCTGTAAGGTGGCTTTCCGAGTCCACCGTTGAAATGTAGGGCTCAACCCTGGACCAGCTATGGAAACAACCAAAGTACTGTAGGCGCCGAGGGACTTTCTGGTTGTTTCTTTTTGATATATGGTGGCTGTTTGGGTAGGAGACAAGGTCTTGTGGTTGCGACAAGAGAGAGTCAATACTTTGAAATATAAAGTGTGTGTGATCTTCTTTAGTTCGACTGTTATCTCAAGTCTGCAAAATGTTCCAAATTGATGAATCTATATAGCCATCTGCATTTGGTGCCATATTTGAAAATGACCAATATGTGTATCATTTGAGAATGGTGTTGTACTGTAAACATCAACAATTGTAGGGGTTGAGACTTAACATCAATTTTGGTTGCGGTACCCGCATAACGTAGGATAGTGATTTTAATAGAACTTTCACACGCATGTAGCCATGTTTGCGTTGACGATATTTGATACTTATGATTTCTGTGCTTATTGTTCACCGGCCATCGTTCTCCAGAATCCTGATGTTGAAGACTCAAAACTGTTGTTCTTGTGTTGCAGTGGTCCTTCCAGGTTTGATTGGGATGCGATGTCAAAGACTTGGGTGTACAGGAGGACCATGGCCAACTTGTTCCAGCTTCTGGAAGAAGAAGTTGGGCAACTCTGTGGGCAACCTATCAGTCTTCGTTGACCACCGAATGGATTGTATCGTGACATTTCCTTCCACTGATCGATATCAGTCAGCGGATGCATCTCAAACAAGTCCAACCTTCTAAGCGACATAGGAATAATCCGCTGTACGTGGAATTGATCTTCCAGTAAGAACACGACCCTCTCTTTTGTATTTCTTGCCGTCCCCATTCCTTCATTACAAAACCTGCATCCTATTTTGTCCTCTACGATGGAAATCTAGCAGATACATCAGGTTTCTCCGATCATCAACTGTAGAATACATTAATTATTACTTGCATCAACGTTTGGTTGTCCTTATCACCATTGAATCGGTCCCAAGAGTTTTCCTTTCTATCAATCCTCCTATTTAATTGGTTCCTTTTAGCTTCCGTCTTTGTCGGTAGTTGTCCTTTTACCAAGGAGAAAGCTTGATTCATTGTCTAGAGAAGTGGAAATAAAAGAAAAAGGCATGAAGACGTAGACAAACGTTGACAATGGATGGCTATCCATCCATCAGGTCTCGAGTCTGATACATTATTATCATCAGATTAATATTTAAAATAGAAAATATATCAAATAAAATTTGGAACCCTCACCATTTCATCGGCTGCTTCTATTTAGTCCATTGTTCTTCATCAGTTGCCACCGAGTGTCAACTCTGTGATTTCATCCGGACCTGTCGTCCCATTTGTCAACGTCAACCACGATTAAACGATCCATTAATGATCTCATTTTATTTGGATTTTTCCCCTTCCATTGTTACCTATCGATCTCCACCGAACCCTCTTTCTTCTTCCACCTCAGAATCTTCTTTACTGACTTGTGCACACCCAGTCACCATCTTTGCCTACTACTATTACCTTTTTCTTCACCATGTGGCTTTGCTGCTACTTTTCTTGGACGACGAAGTGAATGACCAAGTTGCCCACATCCTCATCTTCCCTGTGAAGCCTCGAAGGCTTGAGGCTTATGGTGCTTTTTGCTACAGTAGTGAGGGACACCCTTTGGCTATTTGATAAGACTTTCTCTGATCCTTCCTATGGGGAAAAAGGCTTTCTTTCTGGTCCTGGGGACGGAATAATTGCGCTCATCAGGAAGCTACAGATGCTAGTTCTCAGTGAGATGGAGGAGGAGGAGCAATAGGAAGTAGCGATCTTATGCTCGTACCCATGGCTGTTGCCTGCTGTGTCAAGCTTCCCGGTCTCCTCTGTGCTCTGCTTCTCTCTGTTCTCTCAGTGCTGTGTTTCCTGTCTCATGCAAGCGACACCATCGTGCCAGACCAGCCGTTGCGCGACGGCGAGTCATTGATCTCGGCCGGCGGGATCTTCGAGCTGGGATTCTTTAGCCCCGGGAAGTCCTCCAACCGCTACGTGGGAATTTGGTACCACAACTTCTCCACGAACACAGTCTTGTGGGTCGCCAACAGGCAAAACCCGGTGAAGGACACCACCGGCGTTCTGGCCATCGCCGCGGACGGGAATCTTGTTATTCTGGACGGCGGCAACAGCATCCTGTGGTCGTCGAACGCCTTGACGGCGTCCAATGACTCCGTGCTAAAGCTCACGGACGACGGGAATCTGGTGCTCAACAACTCGGGGAGCGTCGGGTGGCAGAGCTTCGACTACCCGACCGACACGTACATGCCGGGCATGAAGGTGGGGCTCGACCTGAGGACGAAGGTGAGCCAGAAGCTCACGTCGTGGGCGAGCGAGTTCGACCCCGCCCCGGGCAATTTCTCCCTGAGCATGGATCCCAGGGAGTCGACGCAGATCTTCATGTGGGAAGGGACGAAGCCGCGGTGGCGGTCGGGGAGGTGGAACGGGCAGGTGTTCATCGGCATACAGGGCATGGTGGCGCAGTACATCTACGGCTTCAAGCTCAACAATTTCGTGCAAGAACAGAAGATGTACTTCTACTACGACGCCTTCAACAGCTCGCACCGGTACGTGCTAACCTGGAATGGCATCGAGAGGCACATGATCTGGAAGAACGACACTAACGACTGGTATCAGTACTGGGCGCAGCCGATCACCCCTTGCGAGGTCTACAACCAGTGCGGCAAGAACGCAGCGTGCACCGACAGCGCCACGCCGATATGTAGCTGCTTGCATGGGTTCGTGCCGGCGTCGAGCGAGGAGTGGGACGGTGGCAATTGGTCGAGTGGGTGCGTGAGGAGGACAGCTTTGGGTTGCAGGATGAATAACAGCAGTGGAGATGGGGGAGGAGATGGATTCCAGACTTTGCAAGGGGTGAAGCTGCCAGATATATCAGATTGGAACACCGACGTGGGAGCGGATTCGAGTGAGTGCCAAGATCGGTGCTTGAGGAATTGCTCATGTACAGCATACGCGGTGGTGACAGGGATCGGGTGTTTGATTTGGGGTGTGGATTTGTTGGACATTCAGGTGTTCTCGATCGGCGGCAACGACTTGTTTCTTCGGCTCGCCAGCTCTGAATTGGGTGAGTGAACTCTTCTGAGCTTCTCCTACTCTTTCAGTGACCCTTCCCATGGAGGCATTTATACAAACACTTCATTCGTTTAGGAACAGAGATACCATTGTTAGGTGTAGAGAACATGTTGGGGGGTTTTTCCATCACAACAGAGTATGCCATGATGCAATTGAAAACAAATCATCAATCGAACCATTCAAACCAATATAGGATTGAAAGTGTATTTAAATGATCATGAAGACAGCAGATCTCACTCCTTGCTTCCTAATTGCTTGAGGTATAGTCTGTTGCATCAGCAAGGACTATTTAGCATTATGATCCCAAGTTGACCTTAAATAAACAATTTCTAGCCGAAAAAAAGGTCATTCAGGTGTTTTTTGGGGAAAATTAGATTTCGTCCTTTGGACTGACACTTATTTCCCTGCTAAAAGTAGTGTTGTTGATTTCTTGCTCACCAAGTCATGAAATTTTTACTAATTTTGCTGCAAACTTGCTAATCATTTCTAACCAATTGTTGCAGATGACAACAAGAAGAACACGGCGGTCCTCATAGTTACAGTTGTTCTAGCAGTGATCCTCTCACTGGGTTTAATCTTTCTATTGTGGAAGTGCAGGAGGAGAATAAGAAGTATGCACTATAATCACTTGTTTTGCCTCATATCTCAGTGTTAATGTCAATCTGATGTCATTAAATTGTTTACGCAGATCTATTTCGACGGCCAATTAACGAAGAAGGACTATCAATGTTTTCTGCTGGAGGCGGAAGTAGAGATCGTTCGGGGTCAGTTCGAGTTAATTATGAAAGTAATGATGAAAGTTTGTCGGAATTACAACTGTGGAGTTTTGATTTTGTACAAAGTGCTACCAAATCATTTTCGGATTCAAATTTGGTCGGTGAAGGTGGCTTCGGTCCTGTTTACAAGGTATCTTCCACAAGCCTTAAGTTACATGCCTCTAAAGATTAATGTTAATGTGATTGTGATTTATGCATGGGCGCAGGGTTTGCTGCCTGAAGGCCAAGAAATTGCAGTGAAGAGACTTTCTAGGAGTTCAGGACAGGGAATTGAGGAATTTAAGAATGAGATGGTGCTGATATCAAAGCTACAACACAGAAATCTTGTTAGGCTTTTAGGATGTTGCATTCATGAGCAGGAGAGGATATTGATCTACGAGTACATGCCCAACAAAAGCTTGGATGCCTTCCTTTATGGTTAGTGTTCCGCAATCTCCATCGATTGGTATGTTTGATATCTTTGCAGCATGATCACACTCAAGATTGGCACAGATCAGACGAAGAAAAACCTGCTCGACTGGACTACTCGGTACAACATTATCGAAGGGATCGCCAGGGGGCTACTGTACCTTCACAGGGATTCGAGGCTTCGAATAATTCATCGCGACCTCAAGGCTAGTAATATTTTGCTCGACGAAGAGATGAATCCCAAAATATCAGACTTTGGCATGGCAAGGATTTTTGGAAATGATGACAACGAGACGAACACGCAGCGAGTGGTTGGGACATTGTAAGTACTTAAATTAACCTGGATAGATAGCTTTGCTTCGATCAAATAGCTTATCGATGGAAACTACAAACTGCAGTGGTTATATGGCTCCTGAGTATGCAATGCAAGGACTTTTCTCGGTGAAGTCTGATGTCTATAGCTTTGGAGTTCTATTACTCGAAATTCTTAGTGGAAAAAGGAACAGCACATACCATCATCCAGAGCTGGGAATCAATCTCATAGCATTAGTAAGTAAACTAAGAAATTAATCTTGTTTCCTTTGTTACATGATCAATCAATCTCTTAAAATTCTGAACATTTGCATTCCGATACAGGCTTGGAAGCTATGGAATGAAGACAGGATGATGGAGTTTGTCGATCCAGTCTTGGCCCAGTCGTGTACCAGTAAACAGCTAGTCCGATGCATCAATGTCGGGCTTTTATGCGTGCAGGATCGCCCAATCGATCGACCAAGTATGGCTTCAGTTGTTGTGATGTTGGAGAGTGAGACTTCCGTTCCTGCTCTTCCTAGGCAGCCTACTTTCACGACGGATAGAAGCTTCAGTGAAACTGACTCATCAACGATAGATCTAAAGGCCATGTCAGTAAATGATTCGATCACTATGCTCACAGGAAGATAGTCATCTGATGCTTGTGATTAGGATCAGTTCAAAACATCAGATTGGTGCCTTTTTTTTTTCCACTTGTCTTTTACTGGAAGAAAATTTGTGGTCTTTCATGTTCTATATATATCGAAAGTATAAAATTTCTTGGAATGCTATAGGTTAAGAATTGAGTATCATTGTTCATGCAACTACAAAGAAGGATTGTTGGTGTTACATTCCACATGGTCTGTATACAATCCAATATGATTGAGATGTTTTCTCTATATGAAAGAAACATTAGGTGCCAAACCAATTCATTGACCATTGACTCTAAAAGATATGTTTACTTTGACAATTATGTCTTTCAACTTTGAGGTAAAAAGGAAAAAAAAGAACCAATAAGCAATGTTAAAGAAAAATTGCTCTTTAAGTTTACATTTGCATTTTTATACAGAAAATGAAGATAACATGTAGAAATTCTCTTCTTCTTTTTTTTCCTTCCCATTTTAAGACCAATAATTACTACAAAGGCAGCAATGTTTCTTTTCAAAGAGCAATTGTGATGAGACTCATTAGAAACAATATCAGAAACAGCTTTGTGATTCCTCATTACCAAAATTCCATTTCTATCATCTTCAAATAAATATACGTATCGTAATGCACTTTTCGATCGATTTATATTCTTCTTTTTCTCTTATAAAAAGAAATACAAACATCAGTTCAGCAAAGCAATGACAATTAAATGTCATGAGCCTACAACAAACTGTTCCAATGCAATTTGTCATGGGTTTGACACATGA